AACTTTTTGATCAACATCCGCCTGTAGGAGGACATGCCCGACTTCATGCCACTGTTGTTTTTGTTTCTTCCCTCCGGGGAGGAGGAGACAGTCATGCTCCCCAGCTCGGGCGACTTTGCGGCGCGCCTGACGGCCCTGGGGGCCGCGGCCGCTGGTGCCCTCAGGAGGGGCCGCGCCGTGAGGCTCTCGGGGCACCTGGGGGGGTACACCGACAACGGCCGCTGCAGGCAGGAGGTGCCCTGGGAGCTGCTCGAGAGCCAGGGCGGCTGGACGTGCTTCTTCCGATGGGCAAGTTTTCCACCACCACTGAAGTAGGGAGGACGAGGGAGAAGGGAGGATGGGGAGGTCCTCCTCCTCCTCCTCCTCCTCCTCCTCCTCCTCCTCCTCCTCCTCCTCCTCCTCCTCCTCCTCCTCCTCCTCTCCTACCAATGGTAGTGGTGGTGGGAAATCGGCCCATCATCTTCGTGCCCGAGCGGCGGTGCCCTCGACCGACCCTGGGGGGCCCGCCCGCAGAGGGTGCCCTCGGGGCCGCGGCGGCGGCGGATGCGGCGCTGAAGCTCCGGGGCATGGACGACGGCAGGCTGTGGGCCACGCGCAGGAGGGGGGGCAGGGTGAGGGGGGGAAGGCTGCTTAGGAGCACCCCCGCTTCCAAGAAGCCTTCCCCCCTCCCCCATGCCCCCCTTCTGCGCGCCGCCAGAGGCTGGCGGAGGCAGCTCTGGCGGCCCTGTTCAGGCTGAACGAGTGGACCCAGGCCAGCATGCTGAAGCGCAGCTTCCTGGCGCGCCATGACGAGGAGGCAGTTCGCGCTGGCAGGGAAGTCCTGATCGGCGTGGACATACGCAGCGGTGATCGGGGTGTCTCAGAAGGTTCGTGCCTCGTTCAGGATCGCGCGGCCATCCTGGCGGGCTGGAGGCATCCACTCTGTCCTGCCTGGGCCGAGTTGCCACTCTCAGAGCAGATGCTGTGCGTGCGCTGTGGGGGATGTCCCCAAGGTGGAGGGATCGAATTGGGCTTCCTGCGCTGCCCCGACTCGTCGGAGGATTACGGTGTTGGCTGAGCATCGAAAGGGCACTTGCCCCACCCCCAGCGTTCGAGCTGTGATCTTCGCGCGGTGCCGTTGTCCAGGCTTGGTCTTCCCGCCGACCCTCTGCCCAGGGACCCTCCCACGGTGGCCCGTGCGAGTGTTTCGGGATCAGAGACGACCCCCTCCCGTGAGCGTCGCATGGCAGCACTGGCAGAGGCAATCCGTTTTGAGTAGCAGGCCGCAGAGGTCCATTCCCAGGGTTGACGTCTCCTGGATTTCTGGCCCGAGGCTTCTCCAAGGTTTGTTTCCAACCCTAAGCTTTGCTTGTCGTAAGCTTCGCCTAACTGAATACTTCGTGCTGAGCTCTCTCTTTTTTCCAGGGCATGCCATGCCATCCCATTCCTTCCTCTCCTCTCCCTCTTCCGCCCTCCCTCCTCTCGCCGTCTTCTCTCCCCCGACCCCCGTGCTGTCGTCCCGCCTCCTCCCTCTTCCCTTCTGGGCCCCTTCGGCCTCCTCCTCGCCCTCCCCCCCCGCCCCCCTCCCTCCTTGGCTCCTATGACTGTCCCCGCCGCAGCAGCAGGCGACACGCCCGCGGAGCCGCCCCGCCCCCAGCCTCCCCCGGGCTCGCGCCGCCGCCGGTTCCGCCGCCGCCGCCGCCGTCGCCGCCGTCGTCGTCGTCGTCGTCGTCGACGACGACGACTCCCTCTCTTCTGTGTGGGCCGGCCGCGCGCGTTCTTGCTTTGCGCTCTTCGACCGTCTGCGCATCGTCGCCGCGCGCGTGGCCGCGACCCCAAAATTTGCGCGTGTGTCTTTGTTAGCGCTTCCATCTGCCGCTTGCGTCTGAGGACTTTTTGCGCTGCTGACTCGCATGTGTTTGTGTGTGTGTGTTTGTTTGTGTGTCTGTGCGGACCCGTCTGCGTGCCGAGGCCTCGCCCAGTCGGCGAGTTCGCCGCGGCCGTGCGGGCCTGGGCCGCCGGCGCGGGCACGCCCTGGGCGTCCTGCGCGGTGTACGTGGCCTCCGACGGCGACTCCGCGCTGGCGGAGCTGCGTGCCCAGCTGGACGGGCGCGCCGCCGGCCGCTGCGGCAGGCTGCGGGTGATAGGCCTCCGGGGCTTCTCGAGACAGCTTTCTGTGACGTCCCCTGGCGACAACGGGCGTGACCTGGGGCGGGGGAGCGAGAGGGAGGGGGGCCAGTCACGTCACGGTTCGCGGTGGCGCCGTCCGGGGGTGCTTCAGAGTGGGGAGTGCCGTCCAGGAGAGTGTGCGGGGTGCGGGGCGCGGGGCCGGCCACGGGCGCGCTCGCGAAGGATGCGAAGCGATCTCTAGGCCTCGAGGGCTTCTTCGCGCACAGCCACGTCAACAAGATCGGGGACGGGCAGCCCTGAGATCCGGGCCGCTTCGGGTTCAGCGTCGGAGGTCTCCGGGCGTTTTCGCTGGTTCGCGGCGGGTTCCAGCCTCGGGGTGCTCTCCAGCAGCTGCGCTTCGCCGAGGGCGCTCTTAGGGGAACGAAACATGACATACACTTGAAAACTCGGAGCCGCGCGGATTTCTTGGATCCGCGCTGGACCTCCCTCCCTGGCGCGCGGAGCGCGCCATGGGCGGCGCCGGAGGCGCCGCCAGGGGGCCCCAACGCCGATCCGAGAAGTCCGCGCGGACCTCCGAGTTTTTCTGCTCATGCCATTTTTCGTTCCCCTAGTTCTGGGGGTGCCCGGATCCTCCCGAACTGGCCGCCGGAGGCTCGCGCGAGTACCCGAAGAGCAGGCTCGGCATCCCGATTTTTTCGCAGCTGGCAGTGCTGCCTCGCTTCGGGCCCTGGGGTCTTCACGGATCGATCCGCTTCGAGAGGTGCAGCGGGAAGGCGGGGTCCCGGTTGTGGTCGTTTTTTGTTGTTCGGTGTTGTGTCCTGTTCGTGACGACGGAACTCAGGAAAGCGCGCGCCCCCACCAGCTCTGGCCCATGGGCCTGTTTGCCACCACCACCACCACAAGTTGGAGGGCGGAAGGATCAAGGGAGGAAACACCACCCAGACCGGACAATTGGCGTTTACTAAACGGCCCTGGGCGTTTATTGAACAGCCCTGCCCTGTTTGGTTCCTTCTTTGGGCGCGTTTACTAAACGGCTTCGCGTGCCGGGGCGGTTATTATCGGGGTGGATTTTCTGCCCTCTCAAGGAGGTGGAGGATGATGAGGAGGAGGAGGAAGACGAGGGGGAGGAGGACCCCCTCCCCCTCCCACTCATGGTGGTGGCGGTGGAAAACAAGCCCACCACTGGCCATGCCCATCCACCAGCGGGCCTGCGCGCGCCGCCTTCTCACGGCGCTGGCTGGGGCGGTGTTGCGTGCTGGCAGGGCCCGGGGCGGGCCTGGTCGTGCCTGGTCGTAAGTCGGGCACGTCCCTCCTACAGGACGAATAGTGAAAAAGAGCAAGAATAGTCAAGGGGACGACTTATCGACTATTTTGGACTAACTTTGGGCATGTTTTGACCATTTTTCGTTTTCATCCAAAATCCGCCTGAAGTAGGACACGTCCGACCTAAGTCTGGTCCATGAGATCCGACGTCTTGGCAAAGTTGCACCATCGCGAAAAGGCACGACGGGAGTCCTGGACCCCGTCTTCCTGCGCCACTTTTCGAGCCGGATCGATCTGTGAGGGTCTTGGGGCCCCAAGCCCGACGAAGGCGCCCAGCTCGAAACCAAATCGAGACGCCAGGATCTGACTGGGCTGCTGGTCTCCAGACGAGAACTACCCGACCCCGTCGGCAAGTCGGGACGCGGCGGTGGGCGTCATCTTCGACGCGCACATGCTCAGCACGGCGGCGGTGATGTTCGTCGCGCCGGCGTCGCGGGTGGCGCAGCTCGCGGCGGCCCTCCGCCGCGCGGGGCTGCCGGCCGCGGAGGCGGCCGTCGCGGGCCCCGGCGGGGGCCCCTGCTGCTTCGCGGTGGGCGGCGGTGGCCGCGAGGGCGCCCGCGGCTGGGCGCGGTGGCCCGCGGGCTCGCCGGCCGGCGGCCCGGGCTGAGGCGCCGCCGCTGCGGCCCGGCGCGGCGCGGTGCGCTGGACCTCTGTTCGCGCGCCCGCCGCGCGCGAGCCGGGAGATGCCCCTCCCATCTTTCGCCTCTCTCCTGCCTCCTCCTCCTCCTCCTCCTCCGCCTCCTCCTCCCTGCTGTACCCCTTCCCTCCGCCCTCGTCCCTGCTGGGCGGCGATGGGGAGTCTGTCAGTGGACGCGTCCGCCAGGCAAGCCAGCCCAGTCTTCTGCAGCCTCCTCCCTCCTCTCTGCCCCCTCCTCCATCCTTCCCTCGCCGCCCTCTGACTCAGGACCCTCCCTCCCTCTCTTCTTGCCTCACTCCGCTCCATCCCTCCCCTCCCTTCTCCTCGCCGCACCTCCACGCGCTCGGCCGCGGAACGCTGCGATGGCTCACCTCCTGCGCGCCCGCCTCCCGCGCTGGGAGTTCCATCGCGCTGGCCCCCCCCCGCTTGTCGCGCCGCCCCTCCCCCCTCCCCCTCCCTGCCCCCCCGATCGGAGGGGCCAGTGACGAATTCCGCACTCTGCTCCCCCGCCCATCGACTTGACCGGTTGTGGGTTGACTGGTGGGGTTTCACTCCGCTCGTAGCCGCTTGGGGAATTTCTGGTCCCCCGCCAGCGCCCCAAGACTCCGCAGGATCTGGACCGGCAGGGGTCAGGCCCACATGTGGCTGGCTCAAGGGGCGAGGGGGAAGCAGCCAAGGCGCAGTGCTTCATCGCGACCCGATTTTCCCGTCTGCACGGTGCGTACCTGGAGCGATTTGCTTCGGGGCCTAACCGTCGTTCAACAGGAAGGAAAGCGACGGTGATGAAGGAAGGTGCACAGATTTTGGTTACAAGCAGCTATTCGGGTGTTCTACAGGGGCGCCAGCATGCGGCCACAAAACCAGTGCCGCCAAGTACTTGGCCAGACTAAGGGCAGCGCCAGCGCCGTTCAAGGGCTGGACGGAGCAAATTGTAAGTAGCTAGTCATCGGACCGCTTTGGTAGTCATTATCGACGGCGTCCCAGTGAACGCCCGTGACCAGCTCCAGCAGCACAACCAAGGAGGCTTGACGCCAGACTTCTTTGACTCATAGCCTTCGTTTCGGCCTCGTGAACACGCAGTTTCATGGCTCCCTCCCTCTCTCTCTCTCGCTCTCTTGTTCTCTTCATAGTTTTCCCTCTCTCTTTCTTATATATATATATATGTATCCCTCTCTCTCTCTCTCTTTCTTGTGTCCTTCGTCTGTATATTCAAAGATTTGTGCATGTAACGGCGAACCTGGGCTGGGAGGCCCGTGCATCAGTCGCCCTCTTGCACGGGTGAGTCCCCTTCCCGCGGCTTCTCCCGGTGGTCTGTGCCAGGTTCCTGTCGTCTGCCCGATTCTCCCTGCGTCCTCCTCATCCCTTCGCCGGGCACTGCACAGCCTCCCGGGCGAGGGATCGTCTTCTTCGCCACCGTCCGGCCGCTGCGCCTGTTCCTGCTCGCCCCCCCGCCCTTTCGTTCTCTGGAACAACATACTTCAGGAGGGAAAGAAACAGACAGACACAATTCATCGTCGATCCCCAGGAAAATATGCGAAAATATGGGAAGTGGAGGAGAAAACGAACACCCAGAAGATATGGGAGAATATGGGGAATCCTGTTATTTGTGTGTATTCATTTGTGTGTCCCAGGGCCCCTTCAATACTATGCGCGCTCTCGTTTTTCAAGGTTTTTTGTTGTTGTTTTTTTTTGGGGGGGGGAATAATCCCTTGTGCAATAATGAGACGAAGCGCGCGCGCGTCGTCGCGCGCGCACGTCGGAATCCTTCAGAAACCACAAGCTTCGTAAGGGTTTCTGAATCGAGTGTCCCGAAAACACGAGAGAACACAGGGTCACCCAACAAAGATTCTCAAAATAACTTGCGCTCGGGGCCCTTGCGAATTCGTAACACAACCATCGGTTGTTCAGCATTTACATACATGCTACCAAACGGGCCTCTCTCGAGCGCGTGTCAGAGTCGCAAGTACGCTTTTGCGGGCGTGGTGTCGCAAGAATCCTTGACAAAAACAGGGCGATTTGGATGCACGGGCGCGTCGTCGCGCGCCTGCCGGAATCATTCAAACACCGGAGGTTTCGCAAGGATTTCAAAATTGATTGTCCCGAAAATGTACACATGCGCGTGGTTTTGCAACATCAGTTTTCAGAAAACAGCCTGCGCTCGCGGTCTTGCGAATGATTCAGAGTACGATCGGTTTGT